TAAAAGCAAAACTAGATAACAAGAAAGGAAAACTACAGATCAGTATGACTCACAAACATAAACGCAAAAATCCTGAACAAATTTTAGCAAATCAAACCCAACAGTATATTAAAAAATGAACTGGCCGGGTGCAGTGGCTCACGCCTGTAATCCCAGCACTTTGGGAGGCCGAGGTGGGTGGACCACAAGGTCAAGAGATCGTGACCATCCTGGCCAACGTGGTGAAACCCTGTCTCTACTAAAAATACAAAAATTAGCTGGGTGCGATGGCACACGCCAGTAGTCCCAGCTACTCAGGAGGCTGAGGCAGGAGAATGGCTCGAACCTGGGAGGGGGAGGTTGCAGTGAGCTGAGATTGTGCCACTGCACTCCAGCCTGGCACCTGGCAACGAAGCGAAACTGTCTAAAAAAAAAAAAAAAAAAAAAGAACCACAAGTAGGTTTTATTTCAGGTATGTAAGTTGTCTCAGCCCTTGAAAATCAATTAATGAAATCCATTAATTCCATTAATGGAATTTCTTCTTTCCACAGGCAAAGAAGAAAAGTCATATCATCAGTAAATGCAGTAAAAGCGTAACTGACACCCATTCCTAATCTTAAAAAAAAAAAAAAACCAACAATTTAGCAAACTAGGAATAGAGAACTGCCTCAACTTGATAAAGAACTTCTACAAAAAACCTACTGTTGGGTGTGCTGGCTCACACCTGTAATCCCAGCACTTTGGGAGGCCAAGATGAGAGGAACACTTGAGCCTGGGAGTTCAAGACCAGCCTGGGCAGCATAGCAAGACTTCATTGCTACTAAAAAGTAAAAAATAGCCAGTTGTGGTGGGCACACCCCTGTAGTTCCAGCTACTTGGGAGGCTGAGGCAGGAGGATTACTTGAGGCAGAAGTTGAAGTGAGCCGAAATCACACCATTGCACTTCAGCCTGGGCGACAGAGTAAGACTCTGTCTCAAAAAAAAAAAAAAAAAAAAAAAATTCTGGGGGATAATCTAGGATAAAATTTAGGTAATTTGTTACCAGCAATTAGCACTATAAATTTCATCTTAAAATAAAAGAAAATTTAGGTAATTTGGGGTTTGACGATGACTTTTTTTTTTTTTTTTTTTTTGAGACGGAGTTTCGCTCTTGTTACCCAGGCTGGAGTGCAATGGCGCGATCTCGGCTCACCGCAACCTCTGCCTCCTGGGTTCAGGCAATTCTCCTGTCTCAGCCTCCTGAGTAGCTGGGATTACAGGCATGCACCACCATGCCCAGCTAACTTTTTGTATTTTTAGTAGAGACGGGGTTTCACCATGTTGACCAGGATGGTCTCGATCTCTTGACCTCGTGATCCACCCGCCTCGGTCTCCCAAAGTGCTGGGATTACAGGCTTGAGCCACCGCGCCCGACGACGATGACTTTTTAGATACGCCACTGAAAGCACAATCATGAAAGAAAAAAATGAGTAGTTTGAATTCATTAAAATTCAGAATTTATATCCATGAAAAACTATAAAGAGGCCAGGTGCGGTGGCTCATGCCTATAATTTCAGCACTTTGAGAAGGCAGGCAGATTACCTGAGGTCAGGAGTTCAAGACCAGCCTGGCCAACATGGTGAAACCCTGAGTCTACTAAAAATACAAAACAAAACAAAACAAAACAAAACAAAACCCCAGCCAGGAGTGGTGGTACATTCCTGTAGTCCCAGTTACTCAGGAGACTGAGGAAGGAGAATCACTTGAACCCGGGAGGCAGAGGTTGCAGTGAGTCAAGATCATGCCATTGCACTCCAGCCTGGGTGACAAGACTGAAACTGTCTCAAAAAAAAAAGAAAAAAGAAAAAAAGAAAAGAAAAACTGTAAAGAAAATAAAAACACAAGCAGACTGGGAGAAAATATTTGAAAAACATATCTGATAAAAGACTTATATCCCAAATATACAAAAAACTCTTAAAACTCAACAATAAGAAAACAACTCAATTTTAAAATGGGCTAAAGATTTGGAGAGACACCTCACCAAAGAAGATATACAGATACCAAACAAGCATATGAAATAATGCTCAACATTATATGTCATTCATGAATTAGAAATTAAAAATACAGTGAGATATCATTACGCAATACTGGGATGGCTAAAATCCAAAACACTGACAGCACCAAATGCTGGCAAGGATGTGGAACAACAGCAACTCTTATTCATTGTTGGTGGGAATGCAAAATGGTACAGCTACTTTAGAGGACAGTTTTTTGTTGTTTTTTTTTTTAAAACAAAGCTCAACATAGTCTTACTGTATGACCTAGCAGTCATGCTCCTAAGTATTTACCCTATTTCAAAACATGTCTACACAAAAACCTGGACATGAATGTTTATAGCATCTTTATTCATAATTGCTCCAAACTGTAAGAAACCGAGATGTTCTTCAAAAGGTGAATGGATAAACAAATTGTGGTATATCCAAAGAATTGATTATTATTTCTAAATAAAAAGACATGGCTTCTCAAGCCACACACACACACACACACACACACACACACACACAGAGAGAGAGAGAGAGAGAGAGAGAAAAGACGTGGAAGTTTTGGTTGTAAACTCTGAGGGGAAGAAAAAAAAAGATATAGAGGAAACTTAAATATGTATTGCATATTCTAAGAAACCAATCTGTTTTACCACACTGGTCTTTAAGTTAAAATAAATAAATAAATAGAAGAAGGAAAAAAGCCAATCTGAAAAGGCTACTTACTGTATGATTCCAAGTATATGATACTCTGGTAAAGGCAAAACTATGAAGACAGTAAAAAGATCAATAGTTGCCAGGGAATTAGAGGGAATGGAGAAAGGAATGAACAGGAAAGAAATGAACAGATAGAAAACAGGATATTTTTAGAGTGAAACTATTCTGCCGGGCGCAGTGGCTCACGCCTCTAATCCCAGCACTTTGGGAGGCCCAGGTGGGCAGATCACAAGGTCAAGAGATCGAAACCATCCTGGCCAACATGATGAAACCTTGTCCCTACTAAAAAATACAAAAATTAGCTGGGCGTGGTGGTGTGCACCTATAGTCCCAGCTACTCGGGAGGCTGAGGCAGGAGAATTGCTTGAAGCCAGGAGGTTGTACTGAGCCGAGATTGTGCACTGCACTCCAGCCTTGCACCTGGTGACAAAGCAAGACTCTGTCTCAAAAAAAAAAAAAAAAAAAGAAACTATTCTATGTGACACTGTAATCATGGATTAATAACATACATGTGCCAAAACCCATACAACTGTATAACACAGAGTGAACCCTAATGTAAACTGTGGATTTGAGTTAATATATAAATATTGGTTCATCAAATGTACCATACTAATAATAATGTACAGTCAGCCCTCTATGTCTGTGGGTTCTGCATCCATGTATTCAACAAACCATGGATCAAAAATATTCAGGAAAAAAAATCCTCAAAGTTACAAAAAGCAAAACTTTAATTTGTTGGGCACATGGGTACTATATTGAATTCACGATATGATGTATAGGCATTCTGTTTGATATTATAAGTAATCTAGAGGTGATTTAAAGTATATGGGAAGGTATGGTAGGTTATGAGAGACTTGAGCATCCTCAGATTTTGGTATCCAAGGGTAGTCATGGAATCAATCCCCACAGATGCTGAGGTATTACTATATTTATACTGGTTTATCAAACATACCACACTAATATAAGATGTTAATAATAGGGGATATATGGGAACTCTCTGTACTATCTGATCAATTTCCAGTAAACCTGAAACTGCTCTAAAGACATAGTCTATTAACTTAGAAAATTATTTTTAAAGATAATAGAAGAATAAAGGAAATCTCTTGCATAATCCTAGCACCCAGAAACAACTATTAATAAGACATTGGTATAAACATTCCTGGAGATTTTCTATTCATATATATGCACATACACTGTGTATCTTTTTTTATTAAAATAGAATAATAGAATATTACAAATTGTTTATAATTCTCACAACAGTCCTAAAGGTTATTATTTCCATTTTGTAAATGAAGTTGTTGAACATTTTTTTTTTTTTTTTTTTTTTGAGACAGAGTCTTGCTGTGTCATCCAGGCTGTAATGCAGTGACTCAATCTTGGCTCACTGCAACCTCCACCTCGCGGATTCAAGTGATTCTCCTGCCTCAGCCTCCTGAGTAGCTGGGACTACAGTCGCACACCACCATGCTTGGCTAATTTTTGTATTTTTAAAATAGAATCAGGGTTTCACCATGTTGGCCAGGCTGGTCTTGAACTCCTGACTTCAAGTGATTCACCCACTTCAGCCTCCCAAAGTGCTGGGATTACAGGCAAGAGCCACCATGCCTGAAGTTATTAGACTCTTAAATGGCTGAACCAGGTTCAGTCCCCAATGTGTTTTACTCCAAAGCCTATAGTCACACCATTTCTCCTCTGACTTTATCAACAGTTACAAAGCAAAACATAAAGCTTATTTTTGTTCTGTCTTTAACATATTTGACCTTTATAAGATATAACAGTCTTTCATACACTACTGTCTTCATCCAGCAACCTTCACTTCATGTGATGTTATATTCCTTAACTCTTTGTGCTTTGTATAGAATCCCTGCCTATTGAATAGGAAGTGGTGGCACAGCTCCTTTTTGCTCCAGGGAGCTGTAGTGAGAAGCAGACAGTGGAACTGGCATTCTTTTTTGGCAGTAATATGGCTTTCTGTCTACTGTATAAGTAGCTCTGAAAATTCAGGTATTCAAGAAAATTATTTCTCGTACCTAAAGATCCTGGGGTTAGAGAGTATTAGGTAGAGACAGATTAAAAGTTGGAGAGAATAGGATTCCTGTGGGGTCTGGGGAAGGAAGGAGCCTCAGATACGTTTAGTAGAGACAGCTTGATAACCCAGAAGGGCCAGTAGCATTCAGAAGCATTCAATGAATTAATAGCAGCCAGTTCAACCAGTACCTGTTGTGATCAGCTGACTGTTTAGGAAAACTTTAAAACAGACCCTGCCCCTTTTCTTTGCACTTATAGGAGACACTTTGAGACTCCAAACAATTCTGGAAGCAATACAGAAGCACATTCATTCTTCCTCCCTTATCTTCAAACTGGCCCAAGATGCATTCAAGATTGCTACTCCCACTGACAGTAGTACTGACAGCACCCTGCTCAACGTTGCCCTGGAACTTGGGTTACAGGTATGGAGGAAGAGTGAGCCATCCCCAATTTAGACTTCTGACCTAGTGACAATTGGCAGAAGATAAGATCTGCGGGAGACTGGGCATAGACCAAGTCTGGTTCCTTTTTTGTGCCCAGAACACAAGTTCTAGACTAGGGAAAAGGCAAGAATTTCATAAATTGGGCTCCACTTTTAGTTAAGGCCAGAAGCAAGATATAGCTTTAGGCTCTGTGGGGTCCCTGTCTTCTCTCTTCCTCCCTATTCCTACAAGTCAAGCAAGGTATGATAATAAGGACTTTCTGCAGATCATCAGAGAAGTTTCCTCTCTGATTGGTGGGAGGGCTGGGAAAGAAATTAAACTTGTACGGCTGGGCGCGGTGGCTCAAGCCTGTAATCCCAGCACTTTGGGAGGCCAAGGCGGGTGGATCACAAGGTCAAGAGATCGAGACCATCCTGGTCAACACGGTGAAACCCCGTCTCTACTAAAAATACAAAAAATTAGCTGGGCATGGTGGCACGTGCCTGTAATCCCAGCTACTCAGGAGGCTGAGGCAGGAGAATTGCCTGAACCCAGGAGGCGGAGGTTGCGGTGAGCCAAGATCGCGCCATTGCACTCTAGCCTGGGTAACAAGAGCGAAACTCTGTCTCAAAAAAAAAAAAGAAAAAGAAATTAAACTTGTACTTTATTGAGGAGAAACCACTGTTTAAAGCACCAGAAAATATTTGTTGCATAAATGAATGGCAAGGGGAAGGAGAGGTCACAACAGTTAGGCAATGCCCACTGGCAAGGCCTCTTTTGTGCCCAGGTGATGCGGATGACCTTATCAACCCTTAATTGGAGACGCAGGGAGATGGTACGATGGTTGGTGACCTGTGCTACAGAAGTGGGTGAGTCTCCCACCTCCCTCTACCCCCAGGGAAAAGGCGTTTCTAGGCCCTACTCTTGGGACAGGACAGTGAATCCTTAGAACTCTCATATTCCTATTCCTGATGGCTTAAGAAAGGATGGGGTTGCTGGTAGAAGATGGCCTCTGTTCACCCAGTCCAAGCCCTGTCCTCACTGCTTGAACCATATCCTGTTCATTCCCCCATCCTCCTTGCCATCATATCCTGATGTCAGCAGCACTTTGACCCTCTCATCAGATACATGTCTATGAGAGTGGATTTTCAGCTGCTACTCAATGGCTCCCTTGGGAGGTAGTGGGCCCAGTGGTTTGGTCCCCATCTCTGTCCATGCTTGTGAGAAACCCCAGACAACTTGGAGGCTCAGGACCCTTTCTAAAGCTCAAAGCCCCAGCACAAGACTCTACCTTAAGAGGCCCCACTTCAGCTAGAACCCCTGGCAGATCTGTAACCCATGCCTCAGGGCAAGCAAACCCCAGACTCTACTGCCCCATCTTTGTGAGGGGCTAAGAGCACCTGCAGAAACCTTCAACCCTCTGACCTGGGGAAGGAAGGGATAGAAAGAGACCCCAAACAGGGTCTGGCCATCTGGGATCCTCCCCTTGCCCTGGTTTGCCTTAAATCATCTCAAGGTTGCTGAGGAGGGAGAACTCATCTCTGCAGGCCAAGTTCAAATCCCAATGGTAATCTGGGCAGACCTGAATCAGGACTCAGATGGCCATGGCTGAGCTCAGGCTCTCCCTGACAGGTGTGCGGGCCCTGGTGAGCATCTTGCAGAGCTGGTACACACTCTTCACCCCTACTGAGGCTACTAGTATTGTAGCTGCCACAGCTGTATCCCACACCACTATCCTGCGCCTCAGTCTTGACTATCCACAGCGGGAGGAACTGGCTAGCTGTGCTCGCACACTGGCCCTGCAATGTGCTATGAAGGATCCACAGAGCTGTGCCCTGTCAGCCCTTACACTCTGTGAGAAAGACCACATTGCCTTTGAGGCAGCCTACCAGATTGCCATTGATGCTGCTGCTGGTGGCATGACCCATTCACAACTGTTCACCATTGCCCGATACATGGAGCTCCGTGGTTATCCGCTACGTGCCTTCAAGCTGGCCTCATTGGCCATGAGCCATCTTAACCTGGCCTACAACCAGGATACTCACCCAGCCATCAATGATGTGCTCTGGGCTTGTGCTCTCAGCCACTCTCTGGGCAAGAATGAGCTGGCAGCTCTCATCCCCCTGGTGGTGAAAAGTGTGCATTGTGCCACAGTGCTTTCAGACATCCTACGACGCTGCACAGTGACTGCACCTGGCCTGGCTGGCATCCCAGGCCGCCGCAGCTCTGGAAAGCTCATGTCCACTGACAAAGCTCCGCTGCGCCAGTTGCTGGATGCCACCATCAATGCCTATATCAACACTACACACTCACGCCTAACACACATCAGCCCTCGCCACTATGGAGAGTTCATTGAGTTTCTAAGCAAGGCTCGGGAGACCTTCCTGCTGCCCCAGGATGGCCACCTGCAGTTTGCCCAGTTCATTGACAACCTCAAACAGATCTACAAAGGCAAGAAAAAGTTGATGCTGCTGGTGCGAGAGCGCTTTGGCTGAGAAAGCAGATAGCTCACTGCCAGAGCAGCCTGGGTTCCCAGGTAGTATCAGGTCAGACCAAGGACACTGAAACATTTGTTCACCCTGAGAGGACTCTGAGCAGCTATGGCTGAGGCCAAAGGACCACAGGGCTAAGGATGGGGAGAGTCCAACTCTAGTTGATATGCCTACCTTGGCAAGCTTCTCGCTACAGCCCACTGTTCATGGATGAGCTGAGCCCTGCAGACCGACCAGAAACCCCACAACATGCCACCTCATGCCCCTATATCCTGCATGTCCTGGGCATTGGCCCTGTCTCCCTTGGCAAACACAGAACACTGTTCCGTCTCAGGGATTGCTTAACCAGAGAAACAGACACATTTATGGTACTGTAAATACTATAGCATATGTGTTGCCAATTATTGTAAAGTTGTAACTATTTATAATTCTGGTTCTGATTTGATGGGCGCTTGAAGTAGCTATGGGTGGGAGGATATGCTTATTTTCTGAGGAGACTCACAACCATTTCTCAGGTTTCCCTTGCAAAGTATATGCTGGTAGCAGTGGAAGAGTGGGGTTGCCAAGGAGAAAAATGGCCAGTTAGAATCAATCCCAAGTCTAGTCTATGCAGAATCCCCTGCCTACAGACAGGGCATTTATAGCCCAGTGATGGGTGAGGGACAGAGGCCAGGACTGGACTTAGACATTGAAGCTCCTGCCTCACACAGCCTCTTCAGGAGCCTGCTGAACACCTGTGAAACAAGTCCAGGGAGAAGATGAAGGTCCAGGAAGCCACTGGGTTCATAATATTCATCTACTCTGGTCATCTTTGAGTTAGAGAGTGTGTGGTTTCATCTGTTATCATGTGTGTGTGTGTATCTGTATGGCTAAGTACCTGTGTACTTATGGCTAAGTACCTGTGTCTGTGCATAGATATATCTGTGCATGCCTGTCTGTATGTGCACATATATATGTGTATCTGTGTCAGTTCTATGGCTGTATTCCTGTGTGAATATGTGCATACTGGACTGTGGGTTTCTGTGTGAGGATATACACATTTTGCACACATGTAAGGATGCATATCTATGTGTAAATGCACTGTTTGTGCATGTTTAGTGTGTATGTCTATATGGGCACACAAGTGCATGTGTATAAATACATTTGTGTCTGTGTGTATGCTTGAACTACACAATAGTTCAACTCTGAAACTTTTATTGTCCCACGCATCCCTGTCTTTATATGTGTAATTGAGTATGTTTCTACATGTAAGGATGTCTGTGTATTCATGCTTAAAGATCTGCCTGAATGTGTCCTTTCTTTTTGCCAGATTTCTCTGCCCTATTCGTCTTAAATCTGTCTCGCCAGCTAAACGTTTGTTCCCCATCTCTGTGCCTCCTCTGTTCATTCTCTCACCAAACAAGCTTCTAAGCACCAGTCTCCCTCTGCCATCAGACTGGCTGCTTTAGCTCCATGGTTCTCTTCTCGCCCCATACTTGCTTTCTTCCCCTGCTTTCTACCTCAAGCTTCCTCTGTCTGCTTTTGTCACAGTCTTATTATTCACTGACTTGAGCCTTGTCCTGGGAAGCAGGGCTGGTCTGCACTTAATCTCTCCCTTCCTAATTTCTAGCCCTAGTGGGCAGCCCTGTCTTAGCCCTGGCAGGCCTCCACAGTGTATCATGTTCCTGCTACCTTCCTGACCACTATGTTCAGCCTGGAATTGTTATAGGAGGTAGCAGAGGCATTCAGAAGAGTCAGTTGGATGCCAGTGTCTTGGTGTTTATTGTTTTATGTCTTAGTTCCCGAGCTGGGGATGGGAGTTGATAGGGAAAGGGTGGTATAGCTAGATTGTGAACTAAGAACTTCATCCACTTTACTTTTTCTTTCTTTTTTTTTTTTTTTTTTTTTTTTTTTTTGACAAACTGTCACCTTTTTTACTCCAAACTGACCAAGAAGTTGTATTTGCCGTTTGTGGCTACTCAAGTCTTAATAATGTCCAGCCAAGGGCCCCTATGTCTCAGCCCAATGGGTTGGTTAAAAAGAGAGAAGCCACTCTCATTTCTGTATCACAGTTGCCCTTTTTTAGCAAGTGTGTGAACTCACAGTGCTTTTCTATGAATAAATCGTGGATCACATAAAGGATCATTTTTCTAAAAGCAGAAATTGTGTTCTCTCAATAAATGAAACCCATCTCTCCCTTCTGCATTGCCCTGGCTGGGCCAGGGAGCTGGTTCAGCCTACAGCACACTGGGCTCCTAGTGGTCCAAAGGGATACAGAATGATAAAGAATTTGCTATACTAGACTTCTCCAGAGCTTACAGACACCTCAGAGCCTTGTTCTGGGAAGCAGGCCGCACCACGATGGGCAGAAACACCAAGATCTTGAGAAAATTAAAGGGGATGCTCAGAAAAGAATACAAAGCAACCTGAGTGCCAGAGGGTCTTTTGGTTTCAGAGGACTTCTTGCCTTGCTGATGATGGACTTGTCTACAGCTCCAATCCTAAGCAACCTAGCTCTGAGCCTTGATGTCCTCCCTATCTTTTGGTGTGAAAGCTGAGGTTCCCTCAGCTTCTCCCTGCTCACCTAGACTCCATCTTCTTTCCCATCCCTCTCTGAAGTGTTCTAACTCCTTCTGTGCTCTTCGTTGATGTATTCTTCCCTTCTTCCTCAGACATAAAGCCCTATCAATTTGGCCTTTATATGCTGTAAGGACCCCACCCATTTTTCTGCAAATGTCACAACTTGAACTGCTAGGAAGCTCTACCCTACATCATGTAGTTCTGGGACTTAGGTATCTGAGCGTAAGATGGGAGTGAGGACCCTTAAGTGCTATAGTACATAGTCATTGATACCTAACCCCCATGACTTGTGAAGAGGATAGAGAGTTCCCAGGGAAGGAACAGAGGCTAAGAAGGAACTGAGGATATGGGCATAAGTCTTTCACAAACAAAACTACACAACAGTTCCACTCTGAAACTTTTATTATCCTAGAAACGATCGATCAATGTATGTAAGTCGTACTTGAGGGTAAATGTATGCACTCAGTTCTGTCGAAGCAGACGTGAGTGTCTATGCACAGCATCCACAAAGGCCCCCACGTGTTCTGGGTCCATGTCAGGATAAAGCCCATGGCCCAGGTTGGCAATGTAGCGTTGTGGTCCAAAGTCATCCAGCATCTGCTTCACCAGTTGTCCAATCTCCTCCTGGGGGACCAATAGGGCACTGGCTACAAGAGGGCCAGCAAGCCTCTGTCCTCCCTATACATACTAGTGACAAACGCATATGTAGGCATGCTTCTACTCAGTGTTAACTCATTCATTCAATAAAATTTATCAGATGCCTAGTATGGGCCAGGCATGAAGCATAAACATAAATGAACAGCAACAAAAAGTCCAGCCTTGCTAGGGCTTATGTTGTATATACAGAGTAGAAGAGGACAGACAGGCATAAAATAAGTAGACACAAAATAATACAACCATATCCGCAGGAGTGCACAGAAACTCAGACACACAGAGGGGCCCTGGCTGTTACCTCAGATGCATACAGGGCACAGGGGTCCAGGTTGCCCTGCAATGTCACTGTCTTCCCCACACGCTCCCTGGAAGCAAAGCCAGTGCCACGTTCTAGTAACTGCATACATGGCAGCTCCCCACCCTCACCTCAGTCTCAAGGCCTCACCCTTCCATGGCTTACCGGGCTTTCTTTGGGGCCACTGTCCAGTCAAGCCCAACCACCTCATAGCCAGCTTGGGCCAGCTCCTCCAGGGCAAAATGCCCATCCTTAGCAAAGATGATCTGGAAAAAAGCAGATCACAGGCTACAGAGGGCCTTGCTACCACCACTAATCTTTCTTGGCTGTACCTCTGCTGCCCTCCAATGGTCACTCCAGTCCATGCAGGACTTAGCCTGAAAGCTCCACAGGCTCACCTTCACTCAACCCATCCCAGTCCTCACCATGGGCACTGGTGCCAGGCCTGATTCCTGCAGCCTGGCCTTTACTCGTTTGGCCACATCACGGATGTAGGGCAGTGCAAACTTGTTGAAGAGATGTGGGCCAAGATGCCCTGCATGGGACTCAAACAGCTGCAATGCCTACAGGTAGGGTATGGTGAAGAGAAACATGTAACACACAAAGAAGAAGCACGTCAGGCCCCACATACAAAATCCACCTCAATTCTCCCCAGATGACTTCAATCCCTGATACTGTTCCAGTAAAATAATAATAGTAATAAGTTATACTTTCTTTACATCCCAGCACTAGCTTTGGTCTCTGAATACTCAGAGCATTAAGCCCCACTGCCAGTGTTAGCATGAGCTTGGCTGCTCAGCTAGATCATTGGAGGCCAAGGTTCTTTCATGCTTGGCATTAAGACTGCCCTCTCAGGTTTAGGACACTCTTGCTTCTGGTCCTTACAGACCAAATCCCAGCCTATTTGTGTCTCTCTCAGGACTCACCTGGGCACCAGCCACCACTTGTCCTACCAGATATGGGATCAGAGCATCAGTGAGGATGCGAAGCAGCTGGTGACTGGCCTGAGGTCTCTGATAGAGCCAGCGCTTGGCCTGAGCCATGGTGCTTGAGCCACCACCCTCAACCATGTATGCCATCAGGGTCCACTACAGGATAGAAAAATGGTGTTATAAGTGCAGAAGCCAGACTGATACTTCCTTCCTTTGTTTACCCCAGACCTGCAAGAATGATCTCCCCATGCCCCCAGTCCCTGCCCTGTCCCACATTACTGGGGCACCAGCAAAGCCAATCAGCGGCACACGTCCAGCCAGTCGTTGTCGGGTAAGGGTGATGGCTTGGAACACATAGCCTAGCTCAGAGGCTACCACTGCTGGATCCCGTAGGCGCTCTAGGTCCCGCTCTTCTCTTAATGGCTCTGGGAAGCTGGGTCCTTTGCCAGGTACCATGGTCACCTCCATGCCCAGTGCCTGGATGGGGGGAAAACATCTGCGTTCCCAAAATGGAACTCCAGGAGGAAAGATTCTGTTCAGCCCACTCCAAGAGAAGGAAAAGGAGAATAAAACTGCCAAACTCATCTCTTTCAGCCTTAGTTTTTCCCTCCATCCAGTTAGGGTAAGTGCTTATTTTGAAACTTCACTGGACTGATAGGATTTTCAAGGGGTCCTTGGATTATATTTCAGGTTCAGGTTTGAGTGGGTACCTGGGGTACAACAAGGATGTCGGAGAAAATGATGGCAGCATCCAGAGGGAAGCGACGCAGTGGCTGTAGGAAACAGGAGACAGGTTGCTAGGTGGCAAGCTGAAGGCATAAATCTTTCCCTCTTTTGTGGACCCCTTACCTGCAGAGTCAGTTCACAGCAGGCCTCAGGAGAACGACAAGTGCTGAAAAAGTCCTGGGCTGCCCGGGTTTCCCTAAACTCTGGAGACAGAGGGAAGACGGGGCTCAGCCTTGAGGCCCTCCAGAGTCCTCCCCTGCCCCTCGAAAATTTTCACCCTCCTAAGTTTTATCTAGGTTTTCAGGCCCTGACTCTCACCTGGTAAGTAACGGCCTGCCTGGCGCATGCACCAAACGGGAGTGTAGTCTGTTTCCTCTCCCCAGGCTGCTCGCAGGAATGTGTCATTCTTCAGCTCCGGAAAACCCTTAAGTCTGGCGATCAGGT